GGTGCGATAAAACCTACTTCTGGTCAAACGTACCCTTAAAATGTTCTTCGCCGCGTCACCCAATAAAAATTCGTTTACTTACTTAAGACAAAGAACTAAGTTATGTTTTATTATTTTTAACAATAACAAAAGACATAGTAAAAAAATTTTAAATGCAGTTATTAAAATAACAGATTCCATACCAGCAAATTTAATTAAATGTTCTAAAAAGCAACTTTTATTTTATTTTCTTGATGTTTTAAATATTAGATTAAAATTTTTTTGGAGGTGAAATAACATTTTAAAATGAAATTTTTGATACTTCCAAACAAATATGATGACCGCACTTAAATAAAAAAATGGTGTTTCAAATGAATAAGAAACGGAAATAATACTTTATTTTAAGCAACTTAAATTCATTTTTTACGATGTTGTTGTTGTTGTTGTTGATTTACGTCGCACTAAACCTGCACAATGGGCTATTGGCGAAGGTCTGGGAAACATCCCTGAGGATGATCCGAAGACATGCCATCACAATTTTGATCCTCTGCAGAGGGGATGGCACCTCCGCTTCGGTAGCCCAACGATCTGCGCGCGAAGTCGAGCACTTTGCGGTAGCACAGTTTAACGAGGACCAATACCGCACACCCTCGGCCCCTACGCAGACTGATCCAAGTGGGTCACCCAACCGCACACTGACCGCAGCCAGTGATGCTAGACTTCAGTGATCTGCTGGGAACCGTGTCTTAATGATTTTTTTTTTTTTTTTTTTGTNTTTTTTTTTTTTTTTTTTTTTTTTTTTTTTTTTTTTTTTTTTTGACGATGCGAAAATTATTTAGACACCAATCACATCAGCTTATCTTTATGCCCTGGAATATTGTTTTATTCATATGAATGCTGATTCCCTTGTTAACGGCAGTAGATCTTCCCCACCTTTCCATAGCGCGGCTACTGTGGTTTTTCCCCCTTATATTATATNTTTTCTTTAAAAAAAAATTGAATTGTTTTTTAATTTATTACATTTTAAATATCATTTTTTTAAAGTTTTTCTGATAATTTTCTGTTTTTATTAAAAGAAATTATTGTTTCGGTTAGAAGATTTGATACTAACATTTATATTAACTAGTGTAGAGCAATTTTTAAACTTTTCTGATAATTTTCTGTTTTTATTTTTGAAAAGTGTATAGTTTTAGTTAGATGATTTGATACTGACATTTATGTTAACTAATGTAGAACGATTTTTAAAATTTTCTGTTAATTTTCTGTTTTTATTTTTAAGAAATTTATTGTTTTAGTTAGAAGATTTGATACTGACATTTATGTTAACTAGTGTAGAGCAATTTTTAAACTTTTCTGATAATTTTCTGTTTTTATTTTGGAAAAATCTATAGTTTTAGTTAGATGATTTGATACTGACATTTATGTTAACTAATGTAGAATGATTTTTAAACTTTTCTGATAATTTTCTGTTTTTATTTTTAAAAAATGTATTGTTTTAGTTAGAAGATTTGATACTAACATTTATGTTAACTAATGTAGAAAGATTTTTTGAATTTTCTCCAAATGGTTAAACGGGCAAAGGGTGATTTGATATTAGGACCCATAATCCTCATAGAACAATCCCAGACGTCTGTAAGCTACTTGAACATAGTTGCACATCAGGTTAACCCATTCATGGCAACAGTTTTTCCTGCTGGGGATGGTGTTTACCAACAGAATAATGCACCATGTCATGAGGGTCGAATCGTCGAAGAACATTCCAGTGACTTTCAAGTCATGTCTTGGCTCCCAAATTCACCTGACCTTATCCAATAAAGCATTTGTGGTCCTACTTGGAAAACCAAATTCGTGCTGCCACGCTACCCCCTCGCAATGTGAGGGAATTGCAGGACCAGTTGGTGAGCGCTTGGTACCAGATACCTCAGACTATCTAACAGCACCTTGTGGAATCAATGCTACGGCGCGTGCTTGCAGTTTTGAGGGCTAAAGGTGGTCCTACATGTTAGACTTCAGTGTCGCATTTGCATCACAATTTTAGCTATAGACAATTTCTTTGAGAATATTGTTCAATTTCCAATTTTGTCCATCAGTTTGAGAAACGGTTCGAAAACTTAAATCTTTTCCAGTTCTGCCCACTAAAAATACTGCTAATCACACACAATTGGAGCAGATTGTTAGAATAAGAAAAATTAAAGTGGGTATTTTCTATTATTCTGAATTTTTGCCTGACCAACAGAGGGCGTTATAATCAGGCACAGAGATGCCAGCTTGCTCCGGACAGCAAATATATATTTTAAAGTGGCAGTTTATCAATTGTGATTCTTGGTTTAATAAATTCAATTTAGTAGATATTCATCCACTACAATTTCTAAATAATTCGTAGGCTTAGATAATTTACCACTTTATAGTACTTAAGTGATGCTATACCTTTTAAAAAGCAAGCAAATATAGGCAAATATTTGCAAAATTTACTTGGTAGTTATTTACCGTTTTTTTTAATTCTTTTTCGCGTGTCCGGAGCAGTTGGCATCTCTGCAGGCATGATAAATATTAATATGTATCACTTGGTTTGGCAGGCATTGGATTGGAAAGGAAGGCTTATTGGGTAGCGAAAACAATATAACACTATCATTATTAAATTTGATTGTTATTAAAATGGTCTTCCATTCATTCCACCATTCTTCACTGAATTCAATATCTACTTAGCAATATATGAGAATTTCTTTTTCTCATTTTGAGTAGCCTTCTAACAGAGATATAATTTTTCCAACTTTCATTATAGTATAAGAAACGAGTTACTATTGTGTTAGAAGTACTAAACAGTACTATTTTGTTCGAAGTATGTAAATAAGCTCGCGAGAATGCTACAAAATAAACACATGTTAATTATTGAAAACTACTAGTATATATAAATAATAAAAATGATTGTGAATTAATTAAATCCGCGATGATAAAATATGACACATTAAATTAGAGTTTGTTTATAAGAATATTTCCACTCAATAATTGAGATTTCCAACAACAATTTCGCCAATTAAAAAAAAATCGGTTGGATTAAAATAAAGTGCTAAGAGTAAAAAGTAAGAGTGTTTGTAGCTTGTGCATGTTGTCAATTACAAAAAACTCGCATATTAATTAAACGAAAAAAAAAGGAATTCATTAAAGTAAAAAATAAATTAGGAATTTTAAAAAAAATGAAAGAACTAATTAATGTTCTATTTATAAAGCAATCGTAGTGAAAAATATGCATTACATATTTCTAAATCACTTTTCTTCTAAATTTTCATAAAAAATATTGAAGAAAATTTCTTAACGAAATAACTTATAATGTAATAAGACACGTGTCTCTGAATCCAAAATGGCGGCATTTACAGATAAGAAATTCAATATGCTGGTAAATGGCGACTATATAAAATGTACCAGGAGTCTAAAAGTTTTAATGTTTGGTTAGTGTTTTAATTATAAAAAATTTCGGTGATTTTTTTCGTTAACTCTGGCCATCCAAAACCATAACATTCAAGAAAATTAATTCTGCTTTAATTCTGCGCATCCATAACATTCAAGAAAAAAGCAATTAAGACTTTTTTTCCCATTAAAAAAAAAAAAAAAAAAAAAAAAAAATTTCTAACTGCATAGTCTTAAGACGAATTTTTCGATTTTTGGCAAATTGTTTCTGCACAGTCGATTTTTTACAAAATCAACTTTGAATTTCAACAACTAACATTTCAAAATTATGACAAAAAAGAATTTTTTACAGAAATAAACATGAAATTTCGATGAAAAGTTTTTATTTCTTTCTATTTTTGAATGTGACTGTGGGAAAAAAATTAATTACAGAAACTTTTTTTTCAGTATAGGGATATTAAATTAAAAAAAAAAATTTAGGGGAGAGTCGGGTAGCCCCGCCCACAGTCAATTTCATATGTATAGAATATTTTTTCAAGTCAATGGGCTATCGGAGATTAATTGTTGTATTAAAAAAGATTATTTTCAAAGTTTCAAGTATTTATGCAGCAAGTAACATGGTAAACAATAGTTTTGAAAATATGTTGAATACAGAATTCATGAAAGTAAGAAAAATTGGTTGAATGTGTCGATTAAACTTCATTTTAATACGAAAAAAATAATTTTTTCTATACATACAGCATTAAAGTATGTAGTTTTAAGTTTAATTTGCTCGAAGAAAGAAGTTTATATGTGAAAAATTGTTCGAGTAATTACAAATTTACAAAGAAATTGGATTTCGGGTAGCCCCGCTCACATGAATGTCGGGTATCACCGCCCAATTTTATTTCGTCGATAAATGTACGGTTGCAAAGATTATTATTTTATTGCTTCAAATTTGAATGTTATATGCATTTTTAACAACAAATATTGTTGTTATTAAATGATTGTTATTAAATGATAGAATTCACTAAAAGTATATAAATATGTAATAAATAAAATAATTTTGTGATAAAAATGATAAATGAGGTTTATCTTTTGTCAATACATTGGTCACTTTCTTTTACACCTGAAAAAACAGTCAAAAAACATAATTTTTGTAACTGGACGGGGCTACCCGACACATTTTGAAGAGAGCTGAAATACATGTTGTTTTAAATTTCTATTTTTTTAAGTTAAACTATTCTTTTTTTAGTTTATTCTTTTTGTATTATTTAATTAGATGGTAAAACAATAGAAACATACAAAAATATTGATTATTACTCAATATTATACAGAAATATAAGCAATACTCCTTAAGTGGGCGGGGCTACCCGACTCTCCCCTAATTATAACAATGTCGGGAGGCAGCACAGCTTTTTTAAATCAAACTGTTCAGCCAATGGCGACCAATTTCGCTTTGAATAATTAATAAAAGTAGCCCTTACTTTATGAAACGATGACTATAAGACAGGGAAGGAAATCTAATTAGTGGTCTATTTATGTAGATTACACTCAATTTATCCGAGATTTTATCAATGAAACGCTCAGTAAACTGCTCTCTAAAAACAAAATTAATATATAAGTATTCAACTTACCTTCTATGAAGCAACCAAGTTTATAAAGCATCCCATTGCAAAGACTCACCTGTAAATACGAAAATTTTTCATTAAAAAAAAGCACTAAAAATGGGAACATATATGGATAACTTATTCAACATTTTTATTGATAATAATAATAAAAAACAAAAATTAATTTAAGGCGAATTGCGATAATTAAATGCGATATTGAAGTGGGGAAACCTGATTTATTCTATATTTTCGTTTAACACGTTCACGCCGGGAAAAGTGAAAATACTGGCACGGGAAAAGTGAAAATACTGGCACGGGAAAAGTGAAAATACTGGCACGGGAAAAGAGAAAATACTGGTAGAACTATTTCAATATTAGATAATATTCGGGAGGAGTTTATCGATTCTCAACAATAACAATTCACTGTAAGGAAATTTATCACGGCGAAGAAGCAATTCAATATAAAAATTGCATCCGTTAAAAACAATTGGTAGTTATGGATTTTTATTATTCCCGGAAAAAAACTAAAAATTGAAATTTATTGTTACCAGCTTTTACTCCGGTGCGCTGCCAAGGTGAGACAATCTAGCGTGACCCACCGGTGGGTCACCCCGGCGTGAACGTGAAAAAAAAGTGTGAATATTAAAAGAGTGCATATTAATAAAATTAATATGCACTCTATTTACTGTCTTGAATTACATTACAGGATGCACTTTACATAAACTTAATGAAATAATATCGTGTTCATTCTTTATAAAGCAATTATATATATTTTTTATTTAATAAGGGTTAAATTATTAAATTACAAGGTAAAAAATTTTCCACACCATTTTAAATGATGTAATTTTTGATGACAAAATGTAAAATATGACCGAAATCGGTTTAAAATTTCCAAAAAACAATATCTTTGAAATTCTATTTCTCAAACACTATTTCACCCTAATTTTTATATTTGTTAATAAAAATTGCATAGTTTAAAATTATGGAAACAGTTTTATTCCAATCAGATCAAATGTATTTGAAATTCATTAAATAAACTCATAATCTAAATATGGCAAAATACATAAAACGGGAAATTAACATTTAGGTACCCAAACTTTCAATCGCTCTACTGACTTAACTATCAGGGCTACTTTTTTCCAGACAGCAGCTACCCTTCCCATATTTTAATAATTAAAAATCCAAGACTTTCGGGGGGGGGGGGGAAGAAACTCATAAAATTTTATTCACAGAAAGTGCATTTTTGTAACTGATTCTATTGCTAAATTATGGTTTGCACTTATTAGTTAGCGTTTTTGAGGTAGCATGAAAATCTGATCAGTAAAACAAAAGTTATTCAGTTTGGATTGCATCTCTCACTGTCGTAACTCAAACGCTATAACATAAAACTATAAAGATTTGCATATTTCTAAAGAAGTTCTTGAATAAAATTTTGATATCAAAATGTTACCGATGCGGTGATTAGTCTTTGAGTAAGAATACTTTATGATAAAGTTAAAAAAGATTTTTTTTCGCTGCGTAATCATGCGTTGCAAAAACTATAAATAGGAAAATTATGATTATTTTTTTAAAACATGTCTAAAAATATGTAAGAAGTCTAATTTTTTAAAATGAAATTTAATTCTTAATTATTTTAAAGTAACTAAATAAATTAGATTTACATTTTTTCGGATTTTTCGATGTAAAAAAAAATGTATTTTTTTAATAATTTTTCGCAAATGAGCTCACTAATGAATGCATTTTCGTTAGCAAATACAAATAATGAGTGCACTTTAACAAACAAATTGTGAAAATAGATTTATACTTCAATAACGATTTTAATTAAAGAAATAGTAAAAAGGATATAAAATATTTAGATTATAATGATATTAGATATAAAAATTTTAAATTATAATGTTTATTTCATAAACATTATAATTTAATTTCTATGATTCAAAAGTTTTTTATAAAACAAATTTTCATTTATTTCATTATACAAAGTAACAGTGGAAATCATTAAAATAAACACGTAATATAACTAAATATGACTGAAAGCTTAAATACAAATGTGATTTAATTATATTAAAAAAATTAAAATTTGAAGCCACTTAAAAAGTATTAAAATTTATTATGAAGTGAACTAATTAAATTAGTTTCATAAAACTAAAAAATGAATTTTGGGAATGCAATTTAAAAGCTGCCATATATTTGAAACACTTATAAACTTGAAAATAAATCTAATAGTCGCAAAAACAGTAATTCATCTGATGCAAATCTGTACAAAATTTGAAAATTAGAAATGCGCTATTGCTTTGAAATTAAGATCAGAAGAAAATTTAGTGTTTAGTTATTTTAATTACGTAATGATCATAGGTCAAGATTATCAGATGGACATAAAGCCTTTTCGTTCAGATTATAATTCCTTAGACCATTAAAACAATATTAATCATATATTTAAGTTTAGAGAAACATTAAAGTATTGTAAAGTATTAGAGAAGATTTTAGCAAATAAAATAAGTTTGCAAATACATTAAAAATTTAGATCGATATCCTGAAGAAAAACAGTAGAGCAACTTTCCGAACTACGAATTTTTATAGCTTTATCTTCAAAATCAGACGCCCGGTGGCTGAGTGGTAGCACTTCGCGCTCACATGCCACAGGTCCTGGGTTCGATCCTCGGGTCGGGCAAGATTCACTCAAACTTTCATCGCTTCAGTGGGTCGATAAATGAGTACCAAGCATGCTTGGGACCTAAACACTGGGGGTTCCGCGTTTGGCTGACCACCTGACCGGAACATTTGCTCCTGCACCCCAGAGCCCAAAGTCAAGAAAATTGAGATGGGCACAGTAGGCCTTGGCCTTCTATGGGCTGTCGCGCCACTGAGTTTAGTACCTTCAAAATCACCGTAAACTTTTAATAGTTTCACAAATTTAACAGCACAGAATAGAGTATAACACCAACTATATTAATGATCCCTATAGGTTAAAAGAGAGGACGGCATGCAAATATGTATTACGTTTTAAATCAGCTTTTTTTTAATAAAATTAGGTATTTAATGAAATGAAAAATATAAATTCAGACTGCCCTTTTTTACAGTGCAATTTCTTTTTTTAATTAATGGGCTAGTTACTTAACACTGAAGGATTTGCTGACCTTTAGTTAAAGTGAATTCAACATACTTGATTTCGTCATTTCAAAAATATCAAGAAAAAAAATCTGTGAAATGTGTGATTTGTTTGTTTTAATTAGTTTTTCGGTGGATTGATGATGATACATTTCTATTCTCGTTTTGGTAAATTTGAAGTATGCATTTCGGGAATTATAAATTCTATGAAACAACTTTTAAAGAAAATATATAGTTAGAAAAAAAAATTAATATTATTTGCTTTTCAATAATATTTCAATTGTAATTATATTCCTAAGCTTTCTTTTAAATCAAATTAATCTAATTTCATTGATTTGTTTTTCAAAGAAATAAGTAAAACAAAATGTATTAATCCTGTATTTTAATTCATATGTATGTGTGTAAAATAGAATTTGTTGTATATGTTTTTAATCATTTGAGAAAATATGACATATATGTATGTCCATGCACATATAAGCATGCTATTATATTTATGTATCTTTATATAACATAAAATCATAGAAGTCTGACTCCGTTTTCCATTGTTGTCGGCGCATTTTTATTGGCTGGAAAATCACGTGGTAGGATCCAGTTTTCCCTCATTCATTTCTATATTCTTTTGGTTGTCATCAGCGCAAAATTAACAATTGTAGTAAAGGTATTCGCGATCGCAACGCTCGAGTACGCCGTCTAGCGGGAGCCTGTAAATATCAGACATTCATTTATCACGTTTTCATTTAGTTCCATCAAAATCATTTACAGAATCAGACGCCATTTTTTAGCAGCAAATAAGAAACAAAATTTCCCTAAGGAAAAGGATTTAGAAGAAAATTCTGCCGTCCAGAATATTAGTAAATCTTTCAGGAACAGAACACGCCAAACATTTGAAGAAAAATTCCTCAATAATTTTTAATTTCTATTATCAACAAACTTGCAACTGATGACTTCCGATTTCGGATACTGTTACAGATGTGTGTATTAAGGTAAAATGCATTTCTTCTGTCTTCAATT